GAACCTATGGCACGTGAGGGCAATCTGGCTGCGACGTCTGTCACCCCATTGATCGCCAGGGTTGATTCAGCTGATCTGGCTGGCTAGGCGGGTATCCCCTTCCTCCCTCACTTCTCCATGTGCATCCCTCCCGAAGGAGTGTACCGATCTTCGGTCAAGGGTATACGATAGCTGCGCTCCCCTGCTAGAACCTCCAAACAAGCTCAAGGTCCTATGGCACGCATCCCAGAGGTGGCACACAGAGCACTCTCTGTAGGCACCTGCGCCATCGCCAGCTGCCCCGTGCAGGTGCTTATTGGCCAGCTGGTCTTCACATGTGCTAAAGCACCGGATACCTGAAGACCAACTGACCGATGCACATGCACATGTTGGAAAACTGAAGACCAGCTGGCCAGTATGCATCACCGGCGCACATGTTCTGGTTTGGGCACTCAGTACCGAAAAGGTTCGCCATCACTGGTATAAGGTCATCTGCCTTGAGCAGGAGGTTAAACTAGATAACCTCTGAGGTCCCTCCCAACTCTATGATTCTGTGTTCTACGTTTTAAAAGTCCATGCTTCAAATCCAGGAGGAGGATTACATGATATATCAAGACAACCTCTCTAATCAAAAAAAGTCATATGGCCTTTTATGTAGCCATAAAAAGCAATAAAAAATGAAGTCTGTGTAGCAATAATATCAATAACAGGTCTTTGTTCTAGTATAATATTGCATTGCTTGGTTTTTCTAGCATGCCTAGATCCTGTTTCTATTCTAAATTTGTACTGCTGGTGTAAATTTATTCAGCATTTGTAAATTAGATTGTACATGAATTCCCAGCACCACATAGTGGAAGCACTATAGATTTTTAACAAAGAGCAATATGGAAAAGGAGATCTATAAAGACTCAGAGGTATCACAGGATTCAAAGACCATCCAAGATAGTAGTCAGCTTCCAGCACTTTCGAATCTTCTTGTTTTTGTCCCTCGGAATAGCTGATGGATTAATTCAGTGCTTAAGCAGGTGTTAAACCGAGTCTCAATTTCACAGGGGAAGCCATGGAATGCTGAAGAAAAATCTCAACCCTTCACAGTCATCAACAGAGGATGCCGCTGTTGCGAAAGGTTTAGAGAAACGGCTGCATTTATGGAATGATGAATCTTTCCGCAGTCAACAGGTCAGTTTGCAGGCTACTGTTGAAATGTGTGTGGTGTTGAAATATCAAAACCTGGGGGTGTTACACCTGGAAAAAGGGGAACCTCTTAGGTACTGTGTTTCCCTGAAAATAAGACAGGGTCTTATTTTCTTTTGACCCCCGAAATAAGCACTGGGCCTTATTTTGGGGAGGTCTTATTATTTTTTAGGTACAGGAGGCGGCGAGCGTAGTCACCTCATGGCTGCTGCTATGTTGCAATATTTTAAGGGAGGGCTTATTTTCAGGGGAGGGCTTATTTTAGCACAATCCAATTGGGCTTATTAACCAGAGAGGTCTTATTTTCAGGGAAAGAGGGTAGTGTGGCATTCAATGGGCAAATGGTGTTGATTGCATCAAAAACATACACTCCCACACCAGGGGTGGGCTGCTAGGGGTTCACACATGTCCGTGTGATCCTCTAGCTAGGATTCTGCCCAGTTCAGTGAACCCCCAAATGCCACCCCACCCTTCCCCTCCCCTTCCAGGAGTCTCCACGCAACCCGTTCATCATGCCAGGTAAGTGGAGGGCCCACACGGAGGCTCAGGGAAGGGGGTAATGGGCCTACTGGAGGTTCCAGAATTCCAGAAATGGGCCTGTTTCCAGCCTCCAGAGGGTCTCCGGAGCCCAGGGGAAGCAATTTTTGGCCTCCCAGAGGCTTGAGGAAAGCCTAGCCTGGGGAGAGTGAAAAATGCCCCCCCCCCCGTGGTGCAGGAGGCTGACTAGGCCACACCCACCATGGCCACACCCACCCAGCAACGGGGCAGCGAACCTGTTGCTGCAATTTTTGAAGCCTACCCCTGTCCCACACTCTGTTCCAAAGTCCCAAACATGGGGAGGATTTTATAGTGTGATCATACAAAGTATATGTGAATGTTTCTTGCTTACAATCACTATTTATAGGATACCACAATTTGTCTAAAGCAGGGATGTTCTATGGACTAATAGACTTCAACTTCCAGAATTCCCCAGCCAGCATTCTTGGAGTTGAAATCCACAGGTCTTAAAGTTGCCAAGGTTTGACACCCCTGGTCTAATTTGTCAATGATTAATAGTTGTTTATACCAGAGCCGTAAATAGCATGGTTTCAATTATCTTGGAATCAGCCATTTCTCCCTCCCGACGAGGGGACTTAGCTTGACTTGGAGGTGAATCTTTAATTCTGAATGATACCTACTCAATCACTAACTACTTCAATGACGTCTAGTCGAGAAAATTCTCTCACATTGCAAAGGTGAAGGTCCCATCTCAGTGCCTGGAGGTTCTTAAATTCTGGATGGTGAGCAGGATCGGGTTTAATCCTGGCAAGATGGATTGATTATGGCATCCATTTTGGTTATTTTCTATCTTTGATTGGAGATTAGATTGCATCATCCTGCATGGGTTTAGTTTGTAACTTGCGGGCTCATGGTTCCTTAGATATGGCTAAGAGGCCCTTTGCACAATTGCATCTGGTGCAACATTTATGACTTGCCTTTGTTGGGATGCCCTGTTCACAGTCACTCCTGTCTTAGTCGCCTCTTGTCTGGGCATTTGCAATGCACAACCCCAAATGATCCTCAATGCAGCAGCACAACTAGAGATGGGATCTCCAGGTTCTCCTATATAAGCTTTGAGAGTTGTATTAGTTACCGGTTTCCTTCTGAGTACCATTCAAGAGGTTGGTTGTCATCTTTAAAATCTTACATAGCTTACAATCTGGCTATTTTTCCTGACTACCTTCTCTTGATGACTTCTCACCCTGTAAAATGAGGAATGGTGGGATCTCTCCAGGGATGGGCTTCAAAATTTTTAGCAAGGGGTTCTCTGCCTGGTTGCCGGCTGGGTGTGGCCATGGTGGGCATGGCCTAGTCCAGTGTTTTTCAACCACTGTGCCGCGGCACACTAGTGTGCCG